TTTTATGTATATAAAGCAGAAATGAAATAAATCGAAAATTTCATTTTTTAAAAAAATCGGGCGTTACTTTTTGCGGCTACTGTACATGTGAAACTTGACCTTAAATCGTTATTGTTATCAACTGATCTCACTGCACTGTCGTTATACATGTATAACGATAACGATAAACGTACATAATCAAACATAGCGATAAATAAAAAATTACATGTAGCTACCGCGACAATGACAATAATCATAGACTTTCCAAACGAAATAATTATCTTGGTTTTACAATACGTGTTATACGGAACAACGTAAATAAAAAATCAATTGTTATTTTTCAATAATTGATATATAAAGACGATTTTTAATTTGACTATTAATCAATAAATAATGAAGGTACAAATACTTTACAAAATTGCGGTATACTTGTAATTTGTGGAATTTACTCATTCCGGATATTGTATCAAATGACTTGCAAGCGAGATTTAAAAGTGATTTAGCGTTTAAGGTGTGTAAAGATAATAAATTTTAACATCAATGATAATAACAAAAACCATCAATTACTATTACTTAACTTATTTACCTATGTACGCACACAATAGACAGCATGCGACATACAATCGTCTGAACAGTGTACAGAATTTATGACATCTCCACAATTCACACACGAAAACAACAATTTCTTCACATTCATATTCCCAAAAAACTATTCTTTGTTGTCTTCAAAAATATTAAACAACAATAATAACGGTATTGATGGTACTTTACAAACTACTACCGTGATGAAGACACATTTCACACCAATATGTTCATGCCGAATCACAATTTCAAAATCGAATGCAGACTCGGTTCTCCCGATTGGATGGCAGACTATTGAATTGATTCCGATTTTTATTAGTAAATTAAGAAGCGGCAATGGTGATAATGATAATTATAATAATAGCGATAACAATAGTTCTAATGATAATCAATCCCTACAAGAACTTCGTGTCAAAAAAGGACTATGGATCGCATACATTAATACCGTAAATGAGCAACAGGAGATGAGTGTTGAAATTAGACATTGTAAATTCTCGAAGCAAATATTATTGTCGTTAGTGGATGTAATTGATCAGTTGTACGGTGCTGTTGGTATGTTGGGTGTTAATGGTGATGAAGAGTGAATGAGCGATCGAGAAATATAACCTTCAATTTTGTCATTTTATTTCTATAATATGGGGTGAATCAGTAGAAACTAAGCCAATAATTCTAGGGGTAAAAAAAATATGATGATTTTTCACGTATTGTTTCTTTTGAATTTTAATAGTTCTTGTTCAAGTTGTTCTACATTTGAGGCTTCATCCGATTTGGCTTGCTTTTTTCTACCATTATTCATTTACTTGTTTTCAAAACGTTTCTATCAAATAATATTAGCTCATTGTTTTTGACACAATCAGTAAATTTGACATACCTAGCCATGGTCAAAAGGTCTTCTTGTCAACTTGTGAAACTTTTCCTCAAAATTATTTTTGCACATACCGCACATGGTACTTTGTTCTCACACCATCTTACCCTCTGGTATTTGGTACCACCTACGTATTTTGGAACCTGAAAAACTGAAGCCTTGCCTTGTTAACTATAAACGTGATATAATATTATATGACCTTAATAAGAGAAAATTATAGTTCATTCAGAATAGGTGGATAATCACAGGATGAATTTGTGTCAACCAATAATCGTGATTTTTAACTATGCTGAAACCTCAAATTTCTATATTCTCATACAATTGATTCTTCTTTTCCTGAAGCACATATAGCCAGTAAAATCATGAGCCTTGTCCAATTTTCTAACCATTTAATCGCTGAATGTATCAAGGGTTCTGCTTTGAACCAGAATGTTTGTGCTGGCTTTGATCATAAAGCAAGTGAATCGCCTTCTTGGCATCATTCACGACTACCATGCGTTATTCATCTATAATTTCAGTATTTTGCAGTGACTTCCCTCAATACACCATTTTTCTTGCATATAAAAGTTGTGATACTCAACATTATATGCTAGAGCTATATTTACAACAATTGACGCTGATTGTTATCGTAAGGATTGAAACCGATTCTCAAACTGAAATAGAAAGATAAAAGTAGTAGAATTGATACTACCTTTCTATTATTAGATTTTTAGTGACGCAGTTTCCATATTCGAAAAGAAAAGCATCACCAGATATGAAAATTGGAGTATTGACAAACACTGCATCAACTATCGTTATTTATACGAAAAAATCACATGTATATAACTGATGATAAATAACCAGACATGTCATTTGCTCATTTGCAAATGACATCGAAATGACCTAGGTCATTAGTCATTAGGTCATTTATCATGTGATTTATACTTTAACCAATAGAGTTTCAGTGAGACAATTTTCATTTTTTTAGTAGACTGATTCAAAATCATGACATTTAAAATGTTTCGGTTACTGATGTTAACGTTACATGTTGATATCGATATACAAAATAACGCGCGTTAATTAATTGTCAATGATTATTGCGATAACTAACATTTTATTTTATTATCCAAATATATTAAAATACTACATAAATTTTGTAATAAAAAATGAAAATAAATTTAATCGATTATAAAGAAAGATTATACACAATCCCAACCCCACGAAGAAAATTCATTATTGAACAGTTTGCTCGATCATTAACAGCATTTATAATTCTTTCTTCTCCATCAATTATTTTTTTTCATTTGACATTTTCACCATAAATATTTTCAATTTGAAAATTAACTTTCTGAAATTCTTCAATAATGGTATAAACCCCTACATCCACTAAATTTTCCCAATGATGATGTCAAGCTTGAACAATATTTTGTGTTAAAGGAATTTCCAGTTTTATTGAGTCACAAACAGACCATAGTTATGGTGAAAAGAGAGATGGAGCATGAATTGTATTGTCATCAAATTCTTTCATGAATTTATTTTCAAACCATTGTACCACCTCATTTGTTTCTAAAGACATTTTTGATTTCAAGAATTTAGATTTTGGTGAACTTGAGAATTTATATTTTAACATTAACCAACTTGAAAATTTAGATTCTAATAATATTTCAATAAAAATCTCAACATACAATTAAAATATATTCTTTGTACTATAGTTTAATATTACATGTATTTAAGAATAATATCTTTTTTTCTTGAAAAGCTACAAGTTTTTATAAATTTGATCTACATAGCGATAGACTCCAATCATTTACATTTAGGTAAAAGTACGCATACAGTCGGAATATACGTAATACTGTTACCGTAGTAACAATAAATCCCTTAATTCCGCTATAATGCTCAACTAATTTCTACATGAAAACTTACCGTAAACACTTTGGCGATCCTCCACGAAGATCCTAATTACATGTACATGTATTCCGTGCCGATCGCATTGTCAACCAAAACAGGAAATAATTCATTACGAATAATTTTCCATTTTCTTTCACAATATTTTAACGGATCAGTGTTGATTATCTGAAAGAAGACGATTATCTATAGCAGAGAAACAATCAAACGAT